TAATCATATAGTAGATTAACTTAGTAATAGTTCTAGTTAGCAATTAATTAAATAATTAATTTTATTGTAAATCTAGGAATTGTAATCTAAACATTTTAAGCGTAATTTTAAACTTTTAGCAAAGTTAAATTTAAATACACGACCCCACAAGCTTTTAGCTTTAATTATTATCGTGTTTAAATAAAGTTTATCTATCTATCTATCTATCTACTGCAAACTCAACTGTAAACCGGAAGTGTTTTATGTAGACCAGAAGTAGTTGTAAGCTCAACACCAGGTTGAGGCTATGCATTGCACCATAACCAGTTGTTACACGAGTCCATGTTGTGATGTAGAAGTTTTCGTCGTGTACGAATAAAACTTGAGTTGCAGTTGCTGTCTCTGATGTTTTAATCCACCGAAGAACGTGGCCACGCTCGCAACATTCACATTATTTTAGATTGCAATTGGATCATTTCCCTAATGATCTGGTAAATTAGTCTTACGTTAAATTGTGTCACCTTTCTAAGCCATATAATACGTTCTTTTATAGTTTGTATAATATGTAGAGAATCTATCATTATTAGTTATCATAGCTATAGCATTGTGTGCTTCTCTTATATTAATATTTTATACTCATATATAAATTTAATTATTTCAGACTTCCCTAATAGCGTTTTTTTCTCTTTTTTCCTCTTTCTTTTTATGTGTGAATTTGTGCTATCTTACTGACCTGTAATTTATTTTCATTTAACGCTGATGTCAACTGGCTGCCTAGCTCCGCTAGCCCCTATGGTTATTCCTGCTAGCCAGCACTCTAATGTTATTATCTATACTGTCTGTAATTAGTTATAAGGCAAGAGAGAGTGCAAATGAAGGAATGTTGTGGACTTACGAGGCGCAGCCAAGTGATGACGCGTATCGTTGTCGATAAGAGTACAGACCACGCTAAACCACTTTTTGGAGTTGTTCTTTTTTTTTTTACCGTAATATCAATGTCAAAGAAAATTTTTTTTTCAGAGTGCGAGCTGAAATAGGCATTGCGTGACACATTGACGCGAGCAGCGTTGTCTAGACTCTTATCGACAACGGCAAATTAGCTAATCAGCGAGATTAGTATCAATTGTGGTAAAAAAAAATAATCGATATGTCAACGACCAATATCGATTTTTTTCAGGATATGCCAATTTGTCACTCTCTCAGCTGAAAACAAATCGATATGGCAACGACCAATATCAATTTTCCGACGTATCGACTGCCATGACGTAATACGTTGAAATATTCTTTGACTTTCCTTCGTTCCGACGGGATTGGCACTCGTTGCACGAGTCATTGCTCAGTAGTGTAAAGCTGTTTGGAAGACTACATGTGCGATCATAGTTAACTATGGTGTGACTATGTGTGTAAAGAATGAATGTGAAGATTCTTCGACTCATCGAGACATTTGCTTGTCGATCCGCCAAGCTCACAAGGGGTTAATAAATTCCAGCTGGCTGGCAGTGCCACAACTTATCAATCCATAATATCCGTAACCATTGATTTAGCATTGACAGCTAAATCAATGGTTTCAGTGAAAGGAATATTAATTTTGTAAAAAGACAAGTAACATCATATGAGACCAAAAACATTTCACTGAAATCTAAATCTTGAATTTCCCTAACAAAAGAGAAAGTATCTGTAGCACAAAACTCTGACGAGATCTGAGGCTCAAGTAAACGACAAAGATACTTTGCTTAGTTGTAGTTATAAGTGCCTATGGAGGAGACAATAGGTCTAAAAGGAGGATCAGTTAATCTATAGCTAGAATACTTGAATTTATGTAATTTAGGTAAACCATATAACCTAGCTGGTTGAGAACTTTGTAACTGGCTTTCCCTCGGCAATGTTAAATCAGATTGCAATTTCTTAAATTAAGAGTCAGGTCACTCTACAAATCACCCATTACATTATTGTTGACTACGTTATCAAGCACTACAACGCCATTACCTTTATCAGTCTTAGAACAATGATGTCTTTGTTCTTTATGAGTTTCTTCAGTATTTTAAGTTTCTTAACGTCATTTAGCGAAGGCTAGCGTGAACAGAGTTGACATAAGTGGTTGCCAAATGTTGGATTTCACTTCTTACTTCATTGGCTTTGCTCCGTTGGCGGCAATACGAATGCAATATGACCCATGGCGTATAGAGTGTGTTCAGGTGACGTCATCAAATTCTCAAATCGAAAACTAAAGAGCCTCTAAGGGTCAGTTTATCCTCGTCAGGCATAAGAGGTACTGAATTTATATCTGCTTACAACTTTCCAGCTAAATAGCGTCCTTCGTTTGGAAACCAGCGCATTTTGAATTCCGGAGTTATGGCGGTGCGTGAGATAAAGCTAACATCGCGTTTGTCGAAAAATATACACTTATCTCGTGATTTTTAGCCATTTTAGGAGTTAAAGTATTAGGAAAAGTGCTTCTGTAACTGTTTTTTGGTTCGGTTCAGATAATCAGTAGTCTAGATAACCAAAGTAAGTTCCAGATGTTGACTCTTACCCTTGAAGGATCACTTAATGTAGGGATAATAACAATTTTTTGTTAAGTTTGGTGGTCTTTGAGCAGCGAGCTCGTCAATTTAGGCAATTTTCCTTCCTTGGAACGCTCAAATTTAGGCATTTCCCGGCTATGATTGTTTTGAGCTCTAAAAAAATATATTTTGACGTATTTGCAAAAACTTAAGTCTTTACATTTACTTATGGCCCAAGATAGTTCACTGAGAAAAGTTTGAGGGAAACTTTCTTCCCACCAGAAATGCAGTGGACCGCTTTTAGAGAGACTGCCACTTAAGTGTTTTAAAGGTTTACTAAAGTGATCCGTATTCAGAGGGGATCCAGTGTGTCAAAGGAGCACTATTTTCTGTGACAGATGAAGGAAAGAGTTACCTTGTCTGTCAGAAATGATACAGGCAACGATTTAGTGAAGCCCCGTATAAAATTTGTCAATATCCTTGCCTGGCTGTTAGGCTACATATCTTCTAGTGATATGTAACCGTATAATGGCAGATATCAAATTATTGAAAACTAGATCATTGGATAATGCAATTCGAGAGTTTTCCATGCTCTACAAATATGGTAAGCGTACGCGCGATTTTCTGACACGTTTCTTTTATTCTAGTTTAGTTTTCTATATTTTGGAGGCGTTGTTAATAAAACAATTATTCCACTCGTGTTTGTTGGATATGAGATGATTGTAGCCAACTCATATCCAACGCTTGCTCGTGGAATAATTGTTAATTACACCAAAAGGGAGAATACACAGGATGTTAATCCGTGCAAGGACATTTTAATACAATAAATCACATCAAACTTCACCTGTTCGTCCACGGATGGTAAATCTGCAGTCAAATTCACAGCCAGGAAATAAAATGTCAGCCTGCAGATATCTTCGTGATGGAAGAACAAGCCATCCTCGACATCGTGACCGTGTTAGTTCATCTTCAAAGTGAATCTCTTCCAGAATGTTCTTGACGTCATTGAAAGGGATTGGTATATCCTCCAACCTTTTATTGGCATTGTTTTGTGTCACCCAGACCTATTGAAAACGAGTAAACTTTTAAAGGCTACCTTGTTACTTTATTTAACGACATGGCACAAATGGGTAATAGCTAAACTTGCCAGATGCTAATACCCAGAACAGGATATTATTGAAAAGAATATTAGCTTACGTGGCCGGCAGATTCTTTGAAATTTCGTCATTTCAAAGTCTTCCTTCAATATACCTGCCTATCACCCTTTTTTATTATTTCAGCTTCTTTCATTTTAACGTATGCTGCAACCGTCACGTTAATTTTATTTTTGTTAACAATTTGATTTAGTAAAAACTGAGCGACCTTTGAAACACTGTCTGAGGAAGTATCTTCATCAACTAAGGGGAACTTGCCACTGTTTGGTGCCCAGCACTGTGCAGGAGGCAACAATTTTGTACTGTATATGCAGTTACCTTGCATCTTATTTCATGCCAACATGGCGTTACGTATGTTAAATCGTATCTTGCTATAAAATCCTCCGACGTTTTCTCGTAAGAGGTTCCCTCCAGGACTTTCTCGTCGAGATCCACCCCCTCTTTAAATGTAACTTTCCAATGATTTCCTTCTTCAGGAGATTGCAACTTTTTCATTGCTTCATCGATGCTCCACTCTCCACCTTCAGCCTCCTCTATGGAAGGTAACAACACGTTTTTTAAAACGCCGAAAGACATGGTGAAATCATCATCAGACATGAGTATTTGAATTTTTCCATTGCAAAACCAAAACAGAAAAAAAACAAAGTAAAATAATTGAACTCTGTTTTTCGGGATTCTTGACAAGGTAAAAGATGATGATTTTTAAATCCAGTTAGTGATGATTTTTAAATCTTAAAAATCAGTTTCAATCTCGGAAGGAATCCCTACAACATGCAAACATGCAGAGAATAACTTCTCATTGTAAAGGTGAGAGGTGAAATACTCAGCAATACAGTAACAACAACAACAACAACAACAACAACAAAAAAAAAAAAAAGAAAGAAACTAAAATTACCCTGTAAATTACCTTCATCGGGTCCTTGGATGATACCTGTTCCAAAATGACACCACATGTCGGCCTTTGGAAATTTTTCTGTGAGTTCTTTATGTTTTATTTTCCGAAGCGCTTCTAAAGCGTCATTCCTGATTTGTAATTCATGGCTTGAGTCATCGCTGGTGGTGTCAGATTCCTGACCAAAAACACATTGCGCATCACCTGGTTGTAGCACTTTGTAGTATTTAATTAAAATCCTAATCTTCATTAGAAACTACGGAATATTAATGATTGACACTACTGTCTGTGTGAGTTATGTGCAAGGACATTTTAGATCTTTTGGGATCTTTCGGCTCTTTGGAGATTAGTCTGGACAGATCTCATCTTTTAGGATCTTTTAGAGCTTTTGGGATCTTGCAACAGTACTTCAAACCGTTGTTTTCAAACTGCCAAATTAAATCTTGAATGGACTCAAGACACTATCTACCACACAAGAAGTGTACAAGAGATTACAAGAGGTGTAATGGCAACAAGAACATTGCAGGCGCATTTTTGTTTTTTCAGGGCGACGCCCAATGCACACTAAAAAGAAAAATCAATCTTGATTCCAGGGCCGTCGCTAAATCCCAAAAGATCCTTCAACAAACAAAAGATATAACAGATTTCCAAAGTTGAAATTGATCCCAACAGATAAAAAGATCCCCAAAGATCCAAAAGATCTAAACGATCTCAAAAAATCCAAATGATCCAGAAATGAGGGGTCACATTGCATTGCCAGAGAAAGTGAAGCAATATTTTTTGCTCCCTCCTTACAAAACGTACAACGATCACTAGCCATAAAAACCTTGCTGGTGAAGAATACCTAAAGATATGACAATCAGTGGCGTTCTGCCCTTTCCACTGTGTTCTGAATAGATCGCGGATTTAATGCAGCTTTCAGGACTTCAGAAAACAAAAAGGTTATGTAAAGCTTTGCTTCGAAGTCGAACTCGTTTTTCCCTAAAGGACTGGTAAACCTACCGCCGATAAAATGACTGCAAAGCCATCGGTTAAAATAATCTTCAAATCACGCGTTCGCGCAAATAATTAACAATATTTCTCACCAGTGGCGTTGCTTCGCGGCCCGGTAAATATCCACCACCAGCCACCAACACTGAGGTGAATAACTGTTTAAGTATATACCAAAACAGAAAGGTTAAATATCCCAAATATTTATTCAGAACACTGCAGGAAGTCCTCTGCAAATAAATTCGCGCGCAAATTGCGAAGCAGTTCAAGAAAAGCCACCTGATTCACCCAGTCGACAAGAGATGAAATCAAACGTGTTTCGTGTGTTTAGTGAAATTACAAAGCGGTAAACAGTGGGGAAAAAGTAGTTGATTCGTGGATTGATGGAAAAGATTAGTTCACTTCAGTCTTCACAACTTTTGCTGGAAGCTTCTGCCCTTAAGATGCACACTCTGATTCAGTTACCTAATTAATTGAGGTAAGCGACCTGTTTATTGTAGAAACTGCCGTCGCCTTTTCTAAAACTTTTGAAGGTACTTCTCAAGTTTCTTGAGAGTTGTTAAGTCTTCGTGATTTGAAGCTATGCTGTAAGACATTTTATTAATTTCACTGCGTTCATAAGAAGATCTTGAGTACACCCTCAGAAAGGGTTAAGAGAGAGTTAAGGCCAGAATATGTAAGGAAGGATAGGAAAGTGAAGAGGAGGATAAAGGCAGATAAAACAAAATGGATAGACAATATTACAAAAGGCAGAGAAGGCCGCAAGAAACCAGCACGTGAAGACGCTCACTAAGACACTATGCAATGACAGATCAAGGTAAAGCAGAGCAGTGTTAGACAAGAATGGAAACCTCCTAAGTGGAAAAGATGAAGTGTAGTCAAGATGGACAGAGCACTTTAAAGAAGTGCTTAATAGAGAAGAACCAGAAAATCCGGTAACTAATAAACAAGACTGTGGATTCGAGTTCAGTGAAGTAATTGAAGAGATTGCAGTCAACGAGCCAACGTTAGGTGAAGTTAAGGAAGCCATAAAGGTACTTAAAAATGGCAACGTAGAATTTTCAGCAGAGAAAATATATCAATTGATGATAGAAATATGGAACCATGAAAGGATCCTGCCAAAAAGGAATGCAAGAACTCAAGAAGGATAACGTTGCTGTCTGTAGTAGGGAAAATACTGGGCAGGATTATTATAGATCGAAAAAGGAAGGGTGTTGACATACGATTAAGGAAGGAACAAGCCGGTTATAGGAAAGGCAGGGGAACAACAGACCAGGTTTTCACTTTACGAAATATCATTGAACAGGCAAACGAGTGGTAAGCTACCCTGTACTCGAGCTTTATAGATTTCGAAAAATCTTTCGATTCCATCCACAGAGAAAGTTTATGGGAGATTATGGGGAGCTATGAAATTCCGGAGAAAATAGTGAAAATGGTAAAAGTGTTTTATGGCTTGAAGTGTGCAGTGGTGGATGGTGGGGAGATAGGCGAATGAATTGACATAAAAACTGGCGTCAAGCAAGGATGCAATATGTGTGGATTCTTGTTCCTGATCATAATGGAGTGGGTAATGAGGAGAACAGTTGGAAATGGTGAGAACGGCATTAGATGGAGGCTTACATTGAAACTTGATGATTTGGACTTTGCAGATGATATAGCGCTAATTTCCTCTACCAAACAGCAGTTTCGGGATAAAACAACAAAGCTGGAAGAAGAAGCCAGACAAGTGGGGCTCAAGGTCAGTACAGAAAAGGCGAAAGTAATGAGGATTAACGCAAGAAAGCAAGAAAAGATTGTAGTCAATGAAATAGATATTGATGACCTTGATAAGTTCACATACTTGGGAGCGAAAGTGTGTAAGGAAGGAGGTGGTATGAAAGACCTGAAGAACAGTCAATCCAAAGCAAGAGGTGAATTCATCAGATTGAAGAACATGTGGCGTTCCAATAGCATCTCAAGGAAAACAAAGTTGAGACTACAAGAGAATATATGAATGATCATACATTTGAACTGCGGAGAAGGATATGAAGACATGATTGATCATCGCAGTTACACACAACTTAAGCAGTTGTGAAATTAAAGCCTAAAGAAAATTCCAGCCTGAACGGCATTCGAACCTATGACCTCAGCGATACCGGCGCAGTGTTCTACCGACCGAGCTATCAAGCCGACTGAGAGCTGGTCACATTGTGAGTTCGTAATATACCCATCTACGGGTGTAAGAAGGGACAGCTGCTTTGTAGACTGCTAAAAATGTGTTCTTCTTTTTAGGCTTGAAGGCAAAAAAACATTTTGCTTACGACTCTCGCGAGGTTCGAGAATGCGTGAAAAACACTATCGTCTTTGAAATTTAGGGAGTTTATCTGCTTCTTACGAAAACGCTTTGGCTTTATCGTGAATGATCATCAATCTAAGACGATGTTTCTTTAGCAGTTCTTTTTTTTTCGGCCATCTTTTGTGGAGAATTTATGATTGAAAACTGGATTTGCATGCTGTGTTCATGGCGATTTCTTCGTTTTGTTTCTTCAATTAATTCGGTTTGGTGAAATGCTTATTGGTGAGGTTAAAGGTTATGGTGTCGAGTGAATAATTAGTGTTTTACAGGAGCCCCGCTTTTAGGACTGGCTAAATCTAATTACATAAAAATGTGTGCACGTGGAAAGTGCTCTTGAGTTAGGTGGCTCGGTGTCGAGGGTGACCGATCCGTGACGACTTTTCTCTATATCTCCCATCTTAATGTAAACATCTCAGGATGACCATAGGTGAAGAGTCATTTGCTTCTGAGGGTGGGATGAACTGGACGGCAACAATTTTTTTTCATGCACGTAATTCGTCGTATGTGACTCTTCTTCCAAGGAAAAGTCTGGTATTAAAATACCACGCGGGAGGACCCATTTTTGGCTCGGTAAGAAGGGGCAGCTCTTTTACAGGATGGCTTACCTCCCAAGGACAACTCTTCCCATAAAAAAAAGCCCTAGAGTAAAGTAAAGGAAAGAAAATTCTGGTAAATACAAACCTGTACTTCATATCCTTCAGCTGGTTTCAGTCGATATTGTGCTTCCGATCCCGGAAGCCACATCCAAACTTGCTCCAGCTTCAGTTCAGAATTCTTTGTAAGGTTCCAGGCATCGATGAAACAACAGACTTTGTTAAATTTATTTTCTTCACCCCTAAGTCTTGCTCCAACCTGAAAAGAATATCGAGCATCTTTTGTTATTCCTGAATAAGCCAAAGACTTGGTTTGTGCTGGGATCGGTTTAGGTTGATCGATTCAGCTGCTGAATTTCGGTTTCTACGAGTCTTCCAAATTTTTCTGATTTTTGTCATTTAACTATTAAAGTGAATTTAAGTACATTATTAGTATTATTAAAGTAAATAACGTGTATCCAGTTGCCTGATTTCAGTAGGGTAGATTTTATTTGATGATTACTCAGTTGTTTTTGTTGCGTGCGTCAGCCATGACGTGCTGTGAAACTGATAAAGCCGAATTTACATTGAAATACATCCGTGCAAGTTCTCCCGTAAAACGACAAACTGCTTATATTTCGAGATGAGAGGCCGAGTACTGTTTGGTTATTTAAACGAAATTGTTAAATCAAGAAAAAATGTATGAAGAGAGAGAAAACTCCAATTGTAAAAAGGTGAAGAGGAGTAGCTAATTATATGCCACTTCCCATGAGTACAAGCTCTCCATCCTGCCACCAACTGGATTTGTTTCCGTTAGCTCCAGATTCAAAGCGCCCAACATCACTTGGCATCCTGTCTGGTTGCAATTCTCGACAGATGCGCTAATTTAGCTGAAATATTTGTTTCGTAAACAAACACAAACCTCGTGTAGAGATAGTGCTTTTTACGGTCCGTCATGAAGACTGCACACCGGAGACAAAATACAGACTGAGGGTAAAATGTAAAGCGCAGACCAGGGCTGCATTGCTGGCGCTTACTGCAGCCGACTACATACGTTTTAGATGTGTATCAAGTTAACATTTATATTAGCGACAGCTGTCCGTAAAATGGTTAACACGGGCGTTTTTCAGGCTAACCGGAGTGAAAGTCTCTTGGCAGTCTCTTGCTCTCCAGTTAGCCTGAATATCACACTGGCTATTACTGGCTTGTTTACGGTTAGCTCGCGATAATGGCAATGGCAACACGATATACAATTAATTGTTTGTAGTCTGTAGTCTGCATTACCCTGTAGTCTGCATTTACCCTGTCTACATTTACCCCGGTCTGCAGTCTGCAATCCGCAGTGTGCAATCCGCAGTCCGCAATCCGTAGTCCGTAGTCTTCGTTTTACACTGACCGGCTTTTTTAGCCTTAAGCTCTCTTTTCATACGCACATATTTTGCCATAGACATCACATACATTTCAAATGTTTACGAATAGTTATATGGTCTGAGTATCATATTCAGTTGGTAATCCGGTAGCATCTTTCAGTTCTAGATTCAGAAACAAATTGATTGTAGTTATTGCGGTCCGACACGACTACACGACTCATTTTTTACGGTATTTTAGACGTTTGTATTCCTCTGATGAATCTGTCCTCTCCCTAGACAACTAGTAAGCCATGAAATGTGCCTAAATTAACGGAGTTTATATCCTCTCAGCCGCAATTCGTCTTGCAAAAAGTTTTCAGACTGCCTCGTATTAGTCCTAATTAAAGTTATTTCAAGTAGGACTACAAATATTCTACTGGTTTCTGTGTATCTTGCTCTTATTTTGGTCGGCTGAACTCTTTATTTATACCTGACAATGTTAGCCAACGAGAGTCAAGTGGTTAAACGATCACAGAGCCGAGGGGTAAACTATTTAGAGCTCCCGGCTGATGGAACAAAAAAGCAAAAGCAATTTCAAACATAAACCTATAATGTGAAAAGTATGTGATTTGAAGTACCCAGTGCCTAGAAAGAGGTTCAAGGATAGCCCGCGTTTATAAGCAAAATTTGCCAGGTAAGGTCACCCTACTAGTTTTAAGGTAACCTGGTAAATAAAACATGCAAACGATAATAAATTTATTGCCAAAACTTATTTTCGCTTGAATTACGTTCACTTGAATTACGTAGTTTATCGGTTCCACTGAAATCATTTCAACTTTTAAGCTCACTTCAAATCCCTGACAGTAATTTTCCTTAGTTTGGGATGAATTTAAACACAAGCAAACAATTCTAAAAAAGGATTTTTTTTAGCGACAGTAGCGACATATATATTTTCGAAAATGTTGTCGTAAAAAGCTGTCATTCGAATTTTTTTCTATCCAAAGCAAAACTGAAACAAATTGTTTATTAATACGATAATTCTTTTATTTGTTCTATCGGTATTTTTTTAAATCATATTTTGTCTCTTGGAGCCCACATGATCAAAGGCCCTTTGGGCTGCCTCGTGTCATTAGTGCCGCCCTGTTGAATCGATAAAATAGACCAGTAATCGATAAAAATCAATTGAAATTAATAACTGAATTGTATCGGAAATTTATAAAGGGATACTCTGTGAGTATCGATNAAAAAATTGGTAAGCTGAGGGGGGGTCATGCGATTTTTAAATGGTGCTTCCCAAATCCCACCAGCCCCCACTCCCTCATAAAAAATGAACGGTCCCCTAGGCTCTATAATTTTGCGCGGAACATTTCGACGAATAACTCAACTTTGGGACAACGCACATACCTTAAACTTGGAGAACTGTCCTCTTTATTTGTCGTCTATAATATGAAAATTTCTTGACATTATCCTCTGAATGGTTTTTGATTTTATTTTTTATTGCGTGACAATGAACACACTCTATATACACAGTGTGATATTATTGATCATAGACCTAACAAATAATTTTTGTGAGTTACACCTGTTCGCTTATTCGCTGAAAATGGGCTTTAGAGGCTGCTTTTTAATCACTCATTGTCATCTTTAGATTTTTCTGCGTGACTGAAACCCGTCACTCCAATGTTTTAAGCCTGTTATTTGTTGTCATACTTAATTTAAACGCAAAAGAGTTGCCTGAACTGAGGGCTCGGACATTAACAAAATAAAGTTCTAAAAACAGTCTGTCACAAATAGCTACAAATGCTTGAGTCTCCAAGGTCTGCATCTCAGTTCCCGTAACACAAAAATAGTGTCTTGAATTTGTACAGCGTGGTTTAAACTGGTATTTCCAAAATCGATAGCACCAAATTTAACGTCGGTTTTGTACCTGTCTTTCGAAGCCAAAATTGATTAACCCGCCAGTTGCCTGAACCATATCTATCTACCTATCTATTTTCACAGGAATCTTACATTACGAGCGCAAAGAATGGTTACACAGGAATGTCTGATTCACCCTATTTCCGAGTGTCTACCTGACTTTAGTCGAGTTGTCCGTAGCGGAGGGGTTACAAGGCAGGTAGGATTACCCAGGGCAGTCCTGCCTGCCTTGTAAACGTGTCCATGATAAAAAAAAAATAATAATAAAATAATAATAATGAAAAAAAAAATTAAGAATAAAAAACTGTGGGAGTGCTACTGGTAACCCTATTAAGCAGAAAGGTTAGTGGTTACCATACCTAATTAGATTGATTCCTCCTTTCCGTACTGCACTTAAAGACGTTCGCGCTAATTGTTTCTGCGCATCCTTACTGCGCACGCAAATTCACACGCCACGTCATGCATCGAGCGCGCACTACGTAATACTAAAATGAACAATGTTAGGACAGACGGCCATTGCTTAAGCTTTGCCTGGGTTTAACGATCTTTTACGTTCGGTGACCCCTATTGTTCTTTTGATGGATCATTTTCTCTACCGATTTTTTACGTTTAGCGAAAAAATGATGAAAATCTATCGACTAGAAGTTTGAATTGTTTTGCAAAATACATCATCGAATTCCGCTCTTTTTAGCTCTTCGTTTATCTGTGCGGCGGTTTCAAATGCCTCTTGAAAGGTTAAGTTTGGTGAAAACGTTGGTTACATTTGGAATAATTTAAGAAACAGACCCACTTCTACAAAATATGGCTGAGATCGTTAGCCTCCGTTGATTCACCCTCGATATGTTTAACTATAAACCCGTGTAGACCATGCTGAAGTACATGCGCCAATTTTTCAAAATCAGAGTAGTTTTCCACATGCTTTATCTCTGATACGAAGTCGGTCACCCCCAATTTTGTTTGCATTTCTGACACAAGTAACTCATTATCTGCCTGCAGTAAGAATTAAAAAATTAGAAAATTTTCGCGCGAACGTCCTTAAGTCTTATGTGCGCCTTACCACTCATTTTACTTCTACTTTTTGTAAGGTGATAAACGCTGCTCAATCCTTTCGGGCAATGGCAAAGAAAAAAAAAACCGAGTGTCGTCTCGCTTCTTTGGGATTTCAAATACGTATTTATACATTGAATATACACGAAATGTTACTCACGATTGATTTTCCGATGTGAAGTTTGACCTGCTGTCTTTGTTGCTTGTTTCCACTGACTATATACACCTCGCCGTTTTTACGGATCACTTTTGCACCTGTCTTAGTGCTAATATTCCGGAGATTATCTCCTCCTGTACCTATCACTAAACCTTTGTACTCAGTTGGAATCTCCACTAATTCACCGGGGGAAAGTGTTGTAGTTCTCCATCTCTGAATTTCTTGCTATAGGGGAGAAAAAAAAACGAACTTTCAAATCTATCTTTTAGCAAAACAAGTGCACATTGGCGCTATCTTCTTCAATGTTGACAATGTTGTTTACACCTTCACTGAGGAGCAAACAGGGCTAAAACTATGTGTATATAATGTTGGGCAATTTGAAACCATGGTGAGCCGGGAGTGGGGGATCGGGGAAACGTTAAATGGTACAGTCGGCGAAAACTGCGTGAATGTGGACATGTTCACGGTTCTTGTAAGATTGTGACAAAGTCTTTTGGTAGTTCGTCTTTTGGCTTGTACAGTTAAGAACTTCGTTTCAGAAATGTGTCAAAAAAGACAGTAATGGTCGATTCTTTAAAAGGAGGTAAGGAAAAAAGTCTGCATACGAGCCAAGTAGCCTATCAGACGGGAGCTTATCCCGGTTTTTGTAGCATGAAGCGACTAGGAGTATTTCTACTCTCCCCTGGATGAGATTCAGTCCATGGGTGGAGAGAAGCGCTGTGAGAGTAAAGTGTTGCTAAAGAACACAACGCAATGTCCCCCGACCAGGGCTCGAACCCTTACCGCTCAATCTGGAGACGAGCGCACTAACCATGAGATCACCACGCCTGTCGGGAATCATGCTAGTCAGTTGTGTTCATCAAAACGAATATCCAGTCCAGGATGATAAATACAACTACCAGGATTCCCTAAAGGTGCATCAATAGAGGAAACTGGCTATTAGAGGTCATGATGGATTCATTTCATGTTGGGTTTATTTACAATTTCCTTTCCAGACAACTTACCACTTTTTCTAAAATAAGACTCTTAGCACATGCTCGCTGGTCTGCATTACCGCTGACTGTAAAGCCTTCGTCTTTCTTCTCCGAACTGATCCTTGCTCCTGATTTCTTCATTATTCCTTTTATGAAAATCCCGCTCTTTCCAATCACATGACCTTTCAACTCACTCAAAACCTCGACAAATTCACTCTCCATTGGCTCCGTATTTTGACTCTTGAGCTGGCTGTAAGATGATCTGTAAAACATAAAGATAATGATCTTGCTATCAGGGCATCATTTTTCGAACTCAAACATTCACTGATAATCAATCCAGTATAATATGCTGCTATTTTGCTCCCGAATGGGAAGTTGAGAAATTAGGAAGAAAGAAGGTCGAGCTCACTGACAGGTATTTATCAATTAGTTTAACCAGTTCATTGACTGAGAAAATTTCTTAAGTAGCTCTTCGTTTTACGATGAGTGCTGTTGACGTCTGAGATCTTCTGGGCTTTAAAAAGGTCTGTTTTGCGTCTTCATCCGATGTGTTGATTGCTTGGGCTGAACTTAAATTTGCCAAAGTTTCTTCGTTTTATTTACCTTTTTTGACATCAAGTGTGTTGCCTATTCCATTTAGCACAGAAATTACCCAAAGTTTTGTTTGTAACCTCACAGGAAATACGGCAACCTTGTAACCTTCTCACAGCATAATTATGCTCACAGAAAATACGATCTGGATGCTGGTCTACATGGAAGAATCTACACCTACAGTGTATCCAATGCTAATCATATCAGTAAATTTGGTAGTTTCCAGTCCGCAAAGATACCGCCATGCAGTAAAAACTAAGCACTTAATGACTGGCCCCAAGGGAAACAGTCATTAAGTGTTTTGTTATAACTCCCGACTCACAAATAGAAAAAAAAAATGATTAGCTTGATGCCCTTACATATGGTGGCTGAGCCCGCAGAACGAGTGGCAGTCATGACCGAGCTGTCCTACCGAAACGACAAGATAATCATGAGTCTTTGCAGCTAACAAAAAACAAAGACAATACTAAAGTCGCTTTGCCTTCTTCTAATGCTAACTCGAGAATTCTAGGTTTGATTTGACGAGAAACAGCATATTTTGTTGTGAATGACACGACTAGTTCCCAACTGGCGACAGCGATCGAAGAGCGAGTTGCCGATCGCGGGCGACCCATTTGTGGCGCCAAATTAAAAGCTTGGAGACACAAAGCGTTCAAATTTTACTTTTCGTTAATCTGATATGTTTTGGCAATTATACGTCCCTTTTCTTAAATATAGTGAAGGTCGTCTCTAGTGAGAAACGTAGCTCGACTTCAATGGCTTGCTCATTAGCATGCAATTGACGTCTGACATAACGTGAGAGTCGAAAGTTCAAGTTGTTGTTTCCCTAGGGGGTTAGTGAGTTTTGTTCGCCCTAGGGAGTTAGTGAGTTTTGACCCATGACACGTGACACGTTCTCATCCAATCGGAAAACGTATTTGAGTTGGGATGTATAACAAATAATTTTCATGGAATGCATAAATATAAAAGGCGACATTTTTGTACCGTTATTTTTTATTGACCTTGTCGGTTGAAATGTTAGACTATAAAATGTTTAAGCAAGCAACCGTAGACTGAAAGGAATGGCTTTTTTAGTATGCAAGGGATGGCAAGATGAATAGAGTAGATGTTGGTGTTTGTCTGTAGGTTTGGTGTAGAGGTCAGTAGATATACTACCGTCGTTAGTCAGAGACACTAACGTCAAGGAGAGTATGTTAGTAGAAGAGTGTGAACTAGTGAATTTAATGGTGGAGTGAATGTTAAGACAATCGATGAAAATTTTTAGGTTATCCAGACCTTCGGTCCAGGCGCCTGTTTCTCGAAGGTCCCGAAAAGTTTTCGCACCGGAAAACCGTAGCAAAATCTCAAACCATTTGATTACAGAACTGTTTTATTCGCATATTCTTAATACGATCAGATGTTCTCATCAAACAAGAAGTTTCAGGCTATTCACTTCCCCGTTTTTAGATACCGATTAACTAAAAATGGCTTTTCGGGCCTGAAAAGTTTCCGGGGCTTTCGAGAAACGGGCCCCAGGTCATAAAAATATCGTCGATATATCGTAGCCAAGTGTGGGGTTGAAATGGGGCATTTTCCAAAGCGTTGGCTTCGAAATAACCCAGAAAAAGGTTAGCATAAGAGGGAGCCATTTTAGTACCCATGGCGGAGCCGTGGATTTGAAGATCGTGGTTTTAATTAAAAGAGATATTATCCATGGCGAGAATGATGCGAATGAGGTCACAGAGTGTGCCAGTAGGAATGGTATTATGACAGGAAGTACGTAAAGATGCTCACAAGCATTAATGCCTTCATTATGTGGGATATTAGTCAGTATAATGATAAAACATCAAGTGTAACTAGTAAGTAATTAGCGGGTAAATTACTGATGGTAAGGAGTTTGTTAAACGTTGGGCCTATGCTAAAAGAACGTATGGCGATGGTAATTTGGGTTTCTGATGCTCGGCTAACGGAGGCAACTCATGGCTTACCGAGCGCAGTGTAATGGTCTGTAATGCCCAGAGGTTTTTGTGATATCCAGAATAATCAAGGTCGAGGTAGGGGTTATCAGCCGAAGCCGAAGGCTGAGGTTTTTAAGCAATCTGAGTGCGCTAAGGAAGCGGCGAAGCCGTGATAACGAGCGCCAAAGCCGCGGTAATTAATAACGAGCGGCGAAGGCGCGAGAAGCCTGGGAGAGAGACAACTGAGAAACCGCCTGCACGGATCACCGACATTTTTTGTTAGTCCAGTGCGCTGGCGTACGGGCCATTGCCATTCTGCTAGCTTTGCCAGTAATTTTGCTCGCTTTGTAACGGGGAAATTTAAATCACGTAGTACTAGAAGTACAACAAAATCATGACGAAAATCATGAAGTACAACAAAAGCATTGTTGCTACTTTCAGGTCCACTCAATAACAAAAAAGAAAAAAAAAAACAAAAGAAAACGTTTACTTACCCTCATCATCATCAGACTGTGTAATACTTATAAATCATAGATGCATATCTCTCAAGATTTTTCGTAACAAATTATATCGGCAAGTTCGAACCCTTTAATGAGACAAGTCATGTACATGGGAGATAATTAGCCAATCCTTCAGCAGGTACCTGTACACTGTACAAGTACTTAAGAATTTCAGTAAACCACAATTCCGGTGGAATATTAATTATTAGGAATATTAATGACAACACAAGGTAAATGTACAATGCTTATCAAACACCGGACATAAAAAAATGTTCTATTCTATTTCGCTTCGCTCAGCCGAATAGAAAACATTCCTATTATAATAGAAAACATTTCTATAAGTAGAGCCGCCAGCAATGATCGAGTTTATTTACAAGAATCTGAGACACGCTGAATACAGGTTACAATGTCACACGCTATTTTAAAAAACCATATAAACAATAAGGAAAAAACAGCCTCGAGTTAACTGGTTGGCATCAAGTGGTGTGATGTTCACAAGGAGTGGTATATAAAGGCCTGATTATCCCAATGGGAACTAATACAATAAATAAGAAATATATTTTTTAACCAAACAACACACTGCATCAAACAGAACCTGACAGAACACCACACTTCACAGATCATACCTGTTGTGAGTTGTGGAGAAGACAATGAAAGTGGAAATGATGACCGCGAAGGCCAGTCTGGTGAAACATCCACTCACGACGATGATGACGATGATGGCGATAATGAAGACGTCGTCGAAGAAGATTCTTACAACCGTCAAGTACATGTCAAGGAGATTCAGGAGAAAGCGATATCTCGCTTCCCTGCACGCTGCAGAACTAAGTCATGCAGATTGAAGCTCCAAGGACGATCAAGCCAAGCCTTTCAAAAGAAGCTTCGCGAAAATGGCTCCCGTAACATACGGCTAAATCAAAAGCCACTCAAAAACAAAAAATAGGCTCGCAAAGCGTGCATGTGGCTGCTGCTTAACAGTTTATGCTTAATGCAATCAGAGCAAAGAAATGATTACTTAAAGAAGTGAACGTAACGATTTATTTAACATGGTTATTTGGACAAAATTAGCATTCATTATCAGGAAATTAAATTTCTAACATGATGTTTCTTGAGTAGTTCTGAGGGAAGACTGTGTACCGCAGTGGAATGATCCAGTTGTGTGTATGATGTTGAGATTGAATCCAATGTTCTTCGAATTGAACATGCACAACTTAATCACATACATGTGTATGAAACTCTTTTAGCTCTTCTTGTGATCTACGTGTAATAAATAGAGCCTATTGGTTATTAACTGTAACAATTTTTGAATGCAAATTGCCATGCAGCATACCAGGGAATGCACAGCTCCTAGCACAATGGTGCATAGCTATAGAAAGGTCCCCAATCCTAGATTTTTGTGATTGATATAGATGCCATTTGATGAATAATCAATTGTTTGAAAATCAAGCTATCTGGATCTTTGTGTTACACATCAGATAACTATTGTATAAAGTTGATTTATAATTAGTATATACCATTTGGCATGACTGAGGCAACAACTTTACTAGATGATTCTTGGTGTCCTGTTTCAATACTAATTGTGATCACATCCAGTTGCTTTACTTTGACAGTACTGTGTTTACTGGTACATGTATACATTGTATGTGGTGAGATATGTCTTATAACTAAACCTATACATACTAATGCCTTGAATGATGTAAGACTTTCTTATCTGTAAATTTACCATGTGTTAAGTGTTTCATCTGCAACGTCTTAATCAATCTTCATCAGCCTTTTCCCCCTAACATTCATTCTGTCACAATCACCTTTTTGTAGGATAGCCATTACTGATATAGCCTGGAAGCCACACATTTGCTGAAGTTGAGAAATGTTAAAGGGCATCTGTGAAAAGGAATTGTCATGTTACTAATTAACAGCATGTGATGTTATTCAAGATATTGTTGTAACCACTTGTGTACACCTCCTCGCATGCTCTTCGTCTACCTATGTGTTCTTGGACATTATCAATATTTACTGATATTCTCTTATCTTGCATTTTTCTGAGGCTTGGATGCTTTTCTTCTATTATTTCAGCTTTGTGAACAAAGTTTTGCACTTGGAATTCAAAGTAGGAGCTTCCAGTGTTTGTGCTCTCACGTCAATAATTTTGTGGATAAAGACACAAATATGGATGTTCATCAGTTTCCCTGTGAACATAGTTAGTGGAGGGGACTGGTTGTGAAACCCGGCAAACTTCAAAGGGCCGGCCTTTTTTTTCGCGTTTGAGGTTGAATTGCACCATCACGTGGCATTGACCGTGCACACGCCAAACGTTCATTCCCAAACAATATGGCGGACACGAATGATTTGTTTATCATTGGAGACGATTTTGACGCTATTTTAGGTATTTTTGAAGAAGAAGAAGAGCTTGATGAACAGTTTAGAGAGGCTGCAGATGAAGTAAGTATTAGATTCTTTCTTAGCCACCCAGAATTTAGCGAAAAGCGCTGCGCTTTGACGTTCATCTTCTTCCAGCTCGATCGAGTATCATCGGGACGCCCTCCACTAACTATGCTGTGAACGGAGATCTTGGGGAAAATAAAAATAGAATTGATTAAGGATATAGTATCAAAGGAATGCTTAAGTGATGATGAAATGGGATCTGATGTGATGTGATGTATGATGTACTATTGAATACTGTAATGTATACTGACTCAACTCAATCACTGGATGGTTGGGCATTCGAGGAAGCTAGAAAATAATATCAAGAAATTTGGCTGCCGAGATTGATTACTGTATGTATAAACCACTGAGTACCAGTGGCAAAACATTCTTAAATTGCTCACAAAAGCAGTGCTCAGTTGTATCATTTGGGTCATATATTTACATCAGTAAGTTATTGGACGTTGTAGTGTGCAATATCCCCCTGGACCTTTTCAAGTGTTCAGTACTCTGTTGGGCAAAAAATGTGTAATAAGATTTTTATCATCGAACAACCCTTTTTCACCCATTTTACCAACATAATTTTCAAGTGAGAGTCAATGAAATTGCTGATAAAAATTTACAGAAGAACAGAATTGCAGGGATTTGAAGTATACGTAGTATCAGTCTTGCCTGTGGTGAAGAGCAATGCTTCCTTTCCCTAGAATTTTCATTTGCAACTTCTTTATTTTGTAAAAGAAGTTTGTCTTACCATCGCAGTTCTGATTTGCACGTACCTCTATCACTGTAATGTACTTGCTTACATTCTGGCCTTCGTACCAAGGAATATTCCAGGATATGCTAGTTCTTCAGAGTATTAATTTATCTCTAAACGTAATCAACAGGCTATTACTGATGCTATTTTGAAAAGCAGTTGAGGTAGGTCATCATGCCCAAGATGGTCTGGAGCTCTCTCATGTTTGATGGGGTCTTCATATTGCAAATTGCCTCAAGTTCCATTCTCAGTCAGAACGTGTCCAAAGGGGGTGTTGAATGTGCATAGCAAGCTTGATTCGTGGTCCAAAGTTACATGCCAATAACTTATTTTGGTATTGATGACGGAGAAGAACTTCTTTCCATGTAGCTGCGGCAGGAGCTCATCAATGGTACGGGTGTAACAAAACTCTCGACATATATTCTTGTTAAGGTCTTTAGGGTCGAGGCAAAGTCTGACCTTCTTTTTGCCTTGTGGGGTTTCTTTGATGTTACATACAATCGAGTTTACCCTGTCGGTTGGTTCGTTCACGGCAGTGATGATGTCATCTGCGATCATTTTGTCAACTTCCTCCTTGTATAAGGGTAATATGTGTACTGGAACAGTGCACGGTGGGTGAATGACTGGAACAGGTGGAAGGTGGTACTTCTCTCCCGGGAAACAAACTAACTTGTCGAAGCAATCCTGGTACTCTTCCAAGACAGTTGGCTTGGATAGCTGGCCATGGTGTGCTTGGGCTACTTGGTTGGGGTAATGGTACTAACTTCATCTAAATTTGCTGATATTATTCCCAGGTCTTGCGACTGTCGGCAACCCAGCATGGATGGGCTTCCTGGGGCTTCCACGATGTTGAATTTGATGTTGGCTGACTTGTCCTTAAAGGAGACCAATATCATGATTTTCCATCTCAGAGCCTCCATATCCTCTTAAAACATTGCTGCAGGGAGATCTGTGATAGTGATTACGCAGGCATCCGCTCCAGTATCTACTTTCAGGCTCATGTCATGGTGTTCATTGATCTTGACCTTGGCGAAGTTGTCTGGATGGCTGTCAAGGGCATTTAGTTATATTTCTTGGGTTTGCTGGCCCTTTGTTGAGGTGAGGGTTCCAAGGAACACAGTGATGGGCTCAGTGTCACTTGTTTCTTCTTCTGATTCTTCTTCATAAGTGTACACATCATAATCGTCATCAAAGCTTAAGGGGTACTCATCTACATGTACTAGGTAGATGTCTTGGCCCTGGTACTCGGGACTGCTCACGATCTGGTGAACCTTTTGAAGGCGTTGCTGCATGACACTCTTGGGTAATGGCCAGTCTTGCCACTGTGCTTGCATTTGGAATTTTTTGGCGCGGCAACTTGCTGATCTGTCGTGGGCGTTTCCGCACCTGAAGCATCCTTTTGACTTGAACTGAAGTCGACGAGGTTTTCTTCCGGTTGAATCTTTTTTATTTTGGCGCCGTACGGAGTTTGATGTTTGGAGCTCTGTCTCGGTGGGGATTTTTGGGTCGAGTATGCGGATTCTCCTTGAACTGTATGAAGATCAGATTTCTTGTCACCTTTGGAAATTATTTTCATTTGTGTTTTAGAGCTTTTCTCAACTTTTGCGAGGTCGTAGGCTTGTTTGAAGGTTAGCCCGTTGCCAAGTGCTACCGCGTCTTTGCGTACTTTATCAGACGCCATGCCGAAGACCAGTGTATCTCGGAGGGCATTTTCTTTGGCCGCGGGATCGTATCCGCCATCTTCAACAATAGTCGCACTTCGGTGATGAATTCCACCAGTGGTCTATCGCCCTGCTTTAGGCATCGAAGTTGGTATCTGGCGAGGATTTGATTACTTTGGGGGTTTGTATAAGCCTCTAGCGCTTCCATACCTGGAGCGATCTTCAGGTTGTCGCCGTCGTTAGCCCACGTGCTCGTGTTGTACATGTAGATTCCGAGGCCTTTATCGCCAATCCATAACAACAGCAATCTCGCCTTTTTCGCCTCGTCGACTATGTCGAGCGGCCCCGCGAAGATAAGTTCGCATTTCTGTTTGAAGAGTTTAAGAGTGTGTCCGTGTAAGAACCGACCACTCAAATTTTGGCAGAAAATGGATTGTCCTCATTTTTTCTACATTAGTCAAACAACATATGCAATGAACGAAAATGGCCTTTATTTCGCCAGATTCGCTTTCTTTATTTTTTGACCAATTTTTTTTATAGGCAAGTTGAAAACCACACAAAACCGGAAATTGATACCCCAAATTTTGGTGGTTATGCGATGCTTGATAAAAACTCGCATGTTTAATAAAACGACCTAACTTTTTCAGAATTACTAGATAATTCTTTATCTTTCCACAGAACAAAAAAAAAA